GACATGGAGGAGTAGGTGATTGCTGATTAAGGTGAGACAAAGCAGCCTGTCCTGAACAAAGCGAGGGAGTTCTGTCATATGTTTTAGAGTGTGAAGTTCTATTTCCTGTTTTGCTATGTGGAAAATGATTCTTGTAATGCATATGTTCCACTGCACTTGCCCAGTTATTGTCTTCTTCACCTGAAATATGACCCCTTTATTACAATACATTGGGTATATGTGATTCCAATAAGAGTCTGGTTTCTGTTAGAAGAGTCTCTTTCCTGTTCAAAGACAAGAAAGGAGATGGTAGTTAATATTAGAAGTACAGGGAAACCTGGGTCTTTTTTCAAGGAGTGTGTAGTTTAAGATGTTGGGGTGAACGAAGAGCTTGTTGCTGTGTGGCTTCCACAGAACAGAAGAGTCTAAGGCTGCTGCTGAAATTTGGACTCAAAGGATGCCTAACTGATACTCTTCAATGCTTGTAGGTATGAGAGGCTGAAATTTTCTGTGCCCTTGAAAATTATGACTAGCAGGATTAACCTGAGCCAAAGGCAGTGAAAACAGAACCTGTTCAGGCTCCCCTCACGTATTTGTCAATAAAGCTCAATCATAACCTGTGACAGTCTTGGTGTCCCAGTCTTGTGGTGGTTGGGTAAACGCTGTCAATCATACATAAATTCTACGCTGGTTTTCTGTCATGTGGATAAATACCTTCCGGAGTTAGGTTGAGACCACCAAACTCCTTCCATCTCAGTCTCTGTCTAGACTTATGAAATCTTAGAGCTTTAGCATATTACTGTGCCACTACTTACCACATCACAGTCATCTTAAAACATTTCTCCTACTCATAAATCAGTGGTTCTAGTTCTCTTTCTCCGTCACACATAAACCAGGAAGCAACTCTTGCTAGGAAGACGCTGTTCCCAAGAAAACTGAAGTAAATCTGTATATAACTTTAGAGCGCAAGGTTTGTAATTTTGTTCAGTGCTGTGAGTGACCAGCAAAGTAGAGGGATATGTGTTCACATTGGATTAGTCCTAATGCAATAAAAATAACAGCCTTTGGATGCATTGGCAGCAAGTATCTAATTCTTTGGTCTTCCCTTTGACTATGATCTAGCTAATTTTCCAGATGTACTTACTCATCTGTCAAGCCAAGAGAACTTATGTCCTAGAGTTTTTCAGGTCTTACATTCAGATCTGATTTTTACTGTTTCTTGCAGGCGGCTTGGGCTGACGGGTTTGATCTCCGTTGTTATCTAAGTTTGCTCAGGAAAATATTGTTTATTCTGCGTGGAAGGGGGTAACTTTATAGCAGGTCTCAGAGAATCCCAAGAGCAAGTACAGTAACATTTAAGGAGTTTCCAGAAGCAGTTACCAAATTAGTACCAGTCAGTAAATGCAATAGTTTTCACAGGAATTGGCGTAACTGTGTCTTCTTATAAAAACATTAAGCATTCAGCCTGTATATTGTAAAATTAAGATAAACTGAGGTTGTATTTGTCGTATTACTTGTTGTAAAAAGCTATGGAGACATTAACATGCATCATCTATTTTTTTGCATTCAAAAAAAACAGTATTTTTGTATAAAGGCAGGCATTCTGCTAGGTTACAGTAAGATCCACTGGGCACTGGACGCTGGACACGTAAAAGAGAGACATAGATTTGTAGCTGATAATTACTTTTTTGCTTGTAACTTTTTACTTTCCATTAACTTGGAAAAATGTCTGCATTAGAGTGCAGGTACTCCCTAAGTGTCTGTTCAACAATGTTCCAGTTCAGATCCACACATCAGGCGGTGTATGACTCCCAGCCAAACATCTTGTTAAATACTTGCAGGATTTCCCATAGCGGATCTGACTTTAATCAAATAACTCAAACGCTTCTTTTGTAAGTACAATAGAAGGGCAGGGCTTGTGTTTACAAAGTGTTCAGTATGGAAATCCTGTATTAATTGAGGTACATTTACTTCACTTAGGATAGCGTCCACATAGTAACTATTTAAATCAGAGGCCTTTTACTGTTGCCTGTTCTAGAGGGTCAATCACATGCAAAACTAACCTGTCACATACAGAAAATCATGAGGAAGTAGCTTGAGAGACGTTCACTGTAGACAGCAGAGATGTTCTAGGTAAAGAAGACAACGTCATGGATTACTTTCTCACAGTGGATATGAAAGAATATAATTCATTAGAAGTATTTTTATTACTATGGAAAGTACTAAATAAATACGCTGTGTCTTTCTCATTCTATTTGCAGAATGTTGAGCATGAGCAGGGCCAGATGTTGTTTCTTGTAACATCACAGATTCATACAAACTGTGCTTTAAATTATTGTCTTTCTGAGGCAGAAGCTGTATTTTTTTGTGAGTAATCACAATGTGCTTCCACCCAGCCTCGTGCAGGATTTGGAGTTTTTATTATTAACAGTAAAGCTTTTAGTGTTTCAAATAAAGGGTGTATAAGTAGGAAAGATAATATTATTACTCAGTGATAAAATTATTACTTAATAATAGGTGACTGGAATTGCACTCCTCTGAGTTCTTTATTTTGCTGTGCCAGAAAATGCCAGAATCAAAATAAGCCACATACAGAAGAATTAAACAGAGAATCAGCATTTTCCTCCACAATGAGCTGGAAATTACATGTTCCTTCTATATTCTATACAGCGAAATCTTTTTTCCTTCTTTTCTTGAATTATAATTCTGCTATAGTTGAAAAGATAATCCTGCCAGTGTATTAAATACCTGGCAAAAAAGGTGTTTTAGAACATTTTTAGGTAAATATAGGTCAACACAAAGGAATCATACAGTTGGAAATATTTTCCAGTGTTTATGTTCAGATGTTCAGACCTGTCTGGCTCCTCTCTATTTGCATGTGTTGGGGTTATAGGCAGTCCGGCTACATTCCACATTGATTTATATAAATATATTGCAGATTATTAACCTCCAGCCAAATACCAGCAAATTGCACTTTTCAGGAAGGTTTGTGACTTTTCACAAAACTGATTTACTGTGTACAGGACATCTATCTTCTGTGTACACCCCATTAAGGGAATAGCAAAGAGAACAATATTTATCTTTATGAGAAATGTGCCGAGACATTTGCTGTTACAGTCGCTGTGTTACCATAATAATTTAATTAATATTTGTTCATATGATGATTACAGATTAAGTACAGATTTGTCTTCTAGTCAAAAACGGTACCCTGGAGGTAGGGTAGCAGTCCCTCTGTATTTTGTAACTCCAGTTCCCACTGAACAACCTCTTCAAGCTAAAAGGAACACACATTCATCCATTTGCAAAACTTGGTAGCTAATAAACAATTTTTAAGTGTCTGACCATGGGTTATTTCGGAAATGCTGTTAAAGTGGAACCATGGCCTTAACATGTTAAATCTCTATCATCTAAAGTGAACATACTGCTCTCTTAAACCTGGATTACAGTCTTCACAGACAGTTGTGCCAGTTTCCCTTCTCGTGTGTTTTGAGATTTAAGGTAAGAAGTAAAAACTCACTAGGAAGTGTTCTCCTTGTCTGTTCGTCAGATGTCCTCTTTGAAAAGCAGTGACCCTCAATTCTTTGCGCGTGATCTGTTGTCTACAGATCCTGCGTATAAACAGATCCGGTTTACAAAGCCTCTAGTCCTTCAGCAAAGAACAAAAATACTGCTTGATCAGAAATCCTGCAGTTTGCACAAAATAAGGAAGCAGTTATTCTAAGGAAGAGGTTGAAAAATACATGTAGTAAGGCATCATACCTGCTGTGATGTTGATCAAAATAAGCAGTAGTATCGACACTGGTTTGTTATCAATGGTAAGTTCTTCAGTTGAACTGTATAGACTTTTTTTCTTGATGACTGTATTCATACATTTTTTTAAATCAACTGTCATGTAATTAAAGTCGCAATTGATTTTCTGCCTTGCTTCGGAGAGAAGGGAAACCTGGTCTGTACAATTTAAAACTAAATGAATAAACACATGAGTAAAGTATGTGAGGGGGGAACATCATCCTTCCATCTGTGAAATGGTTTCTGATTATGATTTTGAAGAAGTGGGACTTGAGGAAGGATGGTGAAAGTCACTGGTATGAGTACAGGTGTCAAGCACAACAGGATGGGCAGACGTTTGTGAAAAAGATAAAACAGTGATTAAACCTGGGACAGTAGATGAGGTGGAGAAGATGAGAGAAATCTTAATTAAATAGAGAAAACAATAGAAAATAGAGTAATCAGACAGGAATGTGACATTATGAAGAGCTTTGCAAATTAGTTTGATGTTGTGCAACAAGGTAAAATGATAGCGAAATTTTAGCAAAAGAATGACAGAAAGTGATGAGAGAGGAAATCTTTCTCAGCAGTGGCATCTTGTGCACAAAGTTTTTTTCCAGACTGCATCCTGAATGAAGGTATTCCTTGCATCCAGGAACTTGCATGAGTAATCAGCAAAAATGTTCTGTTCCTGCCAAAGGAGATATAAAGTGGTGTAATGGTGAGCATGGGAGTTATGTGGGAAGAAGAAGGTGCATGCAAACACCCTGTTTCTCAAACATGTTTCTCACAATTCTTTTTTAAAGTGACTCTAAGTGCTGCAGCATAGAATGTGGATAAATATCTTATAATTTTGTATATTAACTGTAGTTGCTCTACCCAAAAGTTTTTTGTCAGGTAACTATTTGACTTTGAACAGCTGATGCATTTTTAATCTTTAACTGTATTTCAGAATCCACACATGAAAGAGAGATATTGTTGGTGTATCGGTAGTTATCTGATGATCAAGAGCTCAAAGATTGCTCTATCTTTGGAAAGCTCTTTTTGCCATCCTGTACTGCCCATGGCAGAGCTGTCCTGCCCAAGGCAGGGGGGTTAGAACTAGATGATCTTAAGGTCCTTTCAAACCCAAACCATTCTATGATTCTATGATTCTGTATACTGTAAGAAATTTAAATAGACATGTATGAGCTGCAAGGTACAGATGTCTACACTGGTTCCTGTGTGCTTACCTCTTCTTTTCCTCTTCACAGATTGTTTGATGTGTGCACCGTGTCACGAACAGACAGAGAGACCAAACTAACGTTAGTGTTTGAACATGTGGATCAAGACTTGACTACTTACTTGGATAAAGTTCCAGAGCCTGGAGTGCCTACTGAAACTATAAAGGTATTTAAGAAGAAAAATGTTGTATATTATTTCAGAAAATACTAAATAGGCAAGTAGATAAATCACAAAGACAAACTGTGTTTTGATTCCATAGGATTTTGTTATATCAAAATTGAGTAATGCCCAGCTTGGGACATGAATTAGAGTGTGAAGATCTGTATTCACCAACAGATGTAATCTCCTTGTGGAAATGTTGCACTTGTGTTTTGTTTGGGTTTTTTTTCTCTTTTAGATTTGTAAATCTCCTGAATCCCTACTGTTTTACCAAATACAGCATTCCAGATCATTAAGAATGACCTTTAATTGCAGCTGTAGACAGATGGTTTCATAATTGTTCAGTCCAAGGCTACTTGAGCCTTCCTTAGAAGGTGTCTGGCAAAGTGCTGCATGTTATTAGAATGGATAAGATGAATCCTGTGCTCTTATCAACTTCCTTCTGTCTTTTCCTCAAGAGATTCCTTTAATTTCATGTCCCTCTTGCCAGAAAGGTTTCTATATGTTCCAAGAGCAGGAAATGATCGCCTATAAATGGATCTGTGGTGAGCTCTGCAGAGCAGGGGCTTAAAGAAGGGGGTACCCATGACCTTTGTTGTAGAAGCTGGGAAGGCACTCAGTAACTGGAAGTTGGTAAGGTTTCCCATCATGTTGCTTCATATTCTGCATCTGTAAGGGAGGAGCTCTTCCCGGGATAGGGTGTGCTTGCATTATTTGTACTAAAGTATGTATACCAACCCCTCTTCTCTCCTGGGAATTTCCAGGAAAGTGCTATGTTGGGGATCATAGCTTGAAATATTTGGCAAAATATTTGTGCCTGGGAGGAGAAAGAGGGATTGATGTGCCTACATTGGGACTGTCTGCTTAACATTTCTTTTGATTTTCTTTTTTTTCATGAGGAGAAATAATATATGCTTTCAGATAATCTTGCATTTGTGAAAGTGCTTTCTGGAAATATGTTGTGTCATCTTAGTCTGGCAAAAGTCCTGAGGGAGGAAAAGAAAACATGAAACCTATCTGAAATTTAGTTGTTTTAGTATTTTATTACTTTTTTTGTTAACAGCTCCAAACTTAGGTGTTGTTTGATCTTTCAGTATAAAATGAGGCATAAAAGTGATGAAGATTATTTCATTTGTATCAAAGTCACAGATGTGTGATATCAGCCAGTTCCAGCAACCATGGTTTTTAAAGTAACCTTAATGGATAAAATAAATAAAATGTATACAGCTGTGATTCAGTCCCAGCAGAAGACTGGAACACACCTCTTGCATTTGAAGGACTCTTCTATGATAATGCTTTTAGGGTTCTACTTCCTTTTACGGCTTTAAAGCTACCTTAGGGAACTGTGTCTCAGTGTAACTGGCATTATGGAAATAACATACAAGGTGACTGACATACTATCTAAATATATACGTTGAAATGGATGGGAACTGAATGACCAGGCCTCTGAAATGTCAATTTTAAGTATCATTCAAGCTATGTTTCATTTAAAGGAAATAGAAGAGGTGATGATTGGACTAAAACATCCGTGATTTTCTAAAAGCCTGTTCTGAATTTGCACTAGTAGACTGTAAAACATCATTATGAACATACATTTCGTGGAGGTAAAACACTAGTGAAGGAAATGGTTTGATTTACTTTTGGAAAGCACTGTTCAGCATGCACAGTTCCCTAGTTCAACCCAGTTGATATATCTGATAATTTGGCACAATAAAAGAGAACAGTTTAGCCACACAGAAACAAGGAGGCGCAATCCCGGTGTTTTATGTGCAGTACAAGCTCTGCTGCAGCAGGTGAAATTAGTGTAAAATTCAGCTTGTGGTACATACTGCTCCTTTTAAATGTCTGAGGAAAAACATAAAATTGCTGTTTACTCGGTCGTTGCTCTTGATTTCAACATTTGCACAGTAGCTGATGTGCGTTTCTTGAATTCTGTTTGGCACAGGGGAAAAAAGAGAGAGTGGATTAACCTGAGTTGCACCATGTTGCTTCACTGTTTATGTGAAAATACGCAGTTTATGGAGGTACTTTACCTGATAGTCAGGGCTGATCACATGAGGAAGGGTTTCAAGGCTTACTCCTAATACATTTCAACACCTTTCTAATGATACAGTCTTTATGGGTATTCATGATAGAAACTGAAGCAAAGTATAGTTCTCCTGGCTGCAGGGAAATATTGCCATTTTGCAGCAGCTGAGCATTTAACCCAGAGCACATACATCGTTAAATGACTAATCTGACTTTTTATAGTTTGGCTTTTGAGGTTAATATGGATTTGTACTTCATTTATTTTCCAGAATTGCAGACAATTTGTGTAGAGCATTTCCCCTCACCACTAGCACAGTACAAAACAACTGCCAGTATTGTAAGACCATCTGTTAAAGTTCTGCATGTGTCAGCAACAAAGAGGTGCCAAATGAGCCGAATAAGCTCTGGATAGCTTGAAGGATCTAATACACCTCTTTGGCACCATGGTGTAAACTCAACAGTTGTTAGTAAAACTTGAATGACATAAAATTACTATAAGAGAAGTATCAGGCCCAAAAGATCTTTTCTGTGAGAATCAACTACCATCATTACATAGCATCTGGGGGAGGGAGACTTAGCTTTTGCTGGTTTGGGGCATGCAGGGATTTTAATTACCAACTCTCAAGGAATATAAGTGACATCGGTACCATTTTAAGGATTTTCTTTAGGTTTAGCAGATAGTAGTCAGACTTTAGCTGTTCAGAGAAACTAACCTTATCCATCATTTGAAAATAACTAAAGCTTTTGTCTTAATGCTGCTCAGCAGTGCTTTCTAGTGTCTAAAGTCCTGCAGTGGGAGTCACCATACAGGGTATTTTAGGAACGTACCTACAGGTGCCCATGAAGTGATAGAAGAGGGGCAGTTGCCCTTCGAGGCATTGCCTGATAGCGGGAATACCTACCTAGGAGATGGAGCAGACATGCTCACTTCCTCTCCCTGTTGCCTGTAGCCGTAATGCATTTCTTTGATTATAAAACTGGCTACTGAGTTTCAGGTTATTCTGGACTGAGGTATTTTAAATCTTTTTTGCTGAAGCACTTCCACTATTTTTTCATGGAGTATACTAGAGGGATGAATAACATGACTCCAAATACTCATGGACATGGCATTCACCTTTGAAGGAGAACTGTGGTCAAGTCCTTAATTTGATTAATATGTCCTTATAACTACTGGGTTTTGGTCTTGCTCACCCTTCCAGGCTTGCTCTGTTAGACATTGTAATATATGTTCCATATGGCATGAATCAGAATCGGCAATGACAACGTCTTCCTTCTTTCCTCTCTAGCCATCATATCCCTCCCTTCTTTTCTTCCTGGGACACTCATTAGAGCAGTTTATGTGGAAATGGAAGGTATGAGTTCAGTTTCCTTAGGACACAGCTGTTAGTCATACACAGGTCATTGGTAATGTTAATGGCATTAGCAGTTGAGCGTCCAAGAGACTTGGCTCATTAGGAACTTTTGTTAGTTGACATAAGGGTAGTGGAAATGGGAATGACACCAGTGCCACAGAAAGTCTTAAAAAAAATTGTTAACGGGCCACTAAAGCATTCTGATGTGTTGGTCTTTGGGACTGAATCATGCTTAAGCTGGCTGGTCACATTTTGAGGTGATGCTTGTGAGGCTGGCATGGGGTTTTTGATCCTGAAAGATCTGGATATGTTTGTTAAAATGCTAATTACATTTTTAACATGGAAATCATATGCATGCAAACAAGTTGATGTTTATTGATTTAAGCTATTTCAAGGTATATAACAATACTTAGTTTTAAATTAATATATGCATGTGATGGCTTGGTATATAGAGCTGTAAATTAAGTGGTTTAGTAATGGCTCTTTGGAATTCCCCCCAGTCATCTTGTTCTGTGGAGTTCCCCCAGTCATCTTGTTCTGCTGGCCAAGGAGTCTGGAAGAGTAAGAGGGGTACCAAACTGTTACCCTGTTTCTTTCCTTTTAGTGAAGAAGCAAGTTACCTTTACAAGGTAATGTCATTATAAGTAAAGTTGTGACTTCTTGCAGTAGTTTTCTCACAACTGATCAAAATTTAGCATACCCAAGCTACACATGCTAACTGGGCTGGGCCTGTTTCAATGTGACAGTCCACAGAGGAGGGAGCAGAACAAACATCTCCAATAACAGCAGGTGCATACTTTATCTGTCATGGGATGTTATAAGAGCTGGGAATGTCCTTCTACCCAGGTCTGTGATCTGTGAATCTTCATGGTATTCCCCCACAGCCTGGAACAGGGAACACAAATCAAAGGTGTATCTTTTTATCTGGTGTTTCCTGATTCCTCCTGAATTGCTTCTGTGGATATTCTCTTTCTCCTACGTATAGGAAGCCTAGGTCTCCATTCTGATTTGGGGATCCAGGTTTTAGTATTTAGATGCCTAAAATTGAGAAAGTACAGCAGTGGACGTAATTTCCTTTTGTGGATTTATCTGATAGTAACCCATACATTGAATTTTAAAATATTACCCACAGTCCTAGAATAAATGTAGCTGTTGCATCCCTGTGCATTTCCTGTAACTTACATTACCTGCTATCAAACCAGGCACACCAGTCATATCTTTGCAAGACTCTTACAGAATTAATATGAAGATGTTGCTTCTCAGAAGGCAAACCAGTGTTCGGTGTTGTGAGGTGAGTCATCAGCCATCTGCCACGGTTGTACCTACCCGCTCGATCACGTATGAGATGTGGAGCAGATGTCACACAATCATGCAGTTCTGAAAACAACACAAGATATTCCAGGAAAACAGATTCACCAGTACTGTGAGTCTTCAGAGTGTGGCCATATTTAACAACATCAAAGTTAGAAGTAACTAAAAAAAGAGCCTACTCAAATTAATAAGAAAGATACTAAGAATAAGAGCTGTTGCTAACATTTTCCTGTCAGTACTTTTGTGGTAAAGAGAGAAGCAAAACTTAGTGAGGAATTTAGAGTCCAAAAACAATGAATCAGACCCAAAACTGAT